ATTAACACTTGAGGGTTATGCCTTTGGATCTTTTGAAGTGTGATATAACCATCCACCCAGCCCCGGCCTTCTGAGTTCCACATGGCCTTCAATGGCCACTTTTGTAAGCCACTTTGAGTCCCAATTTGGGGGAAAAGCAGGCTATAAATAAATATAATAACAAGAACACCCTGTATTTAAAGACAGACATTTTCATTTTATATTTCCTTTACCCTGTCCTGCTGAATACCACTGATAGGAGGTTGTGAGATGGTATTGGGACAGCCATGCCACTTACCTCCTCCTCGGCTGTTTTTCCAAACTGAGAAAACTCCTAGCTCCAGGGCTGACCCACCATTAAGAGAAGGCAGACAGCTACACTGAGGAGCAATTAACAAGCACCAGGGAGATAATAAAATACCAACAAACATGGGAGTGGGGCAATAAACTATAAAAAGCAGCACTATAGCCATGAGAAACAGTGGCATTACTACAGTGGTGCAGACCGCACTAGGTGACTCTTCATTGGAGGGGTGACACCCAGTTGGGCCTCTACCTGCTGGGACACCATTTTACTATCCTATGTATTTAATGGAACTGATTGCGGCCCGATTCTCCCATTTTCCAGCCCAGAAAAGAGTGGCAAAATGCCGCTCCTTTCAGAGCCAGCAAATAGGGCACCCCAAGAGCCGCCACACAGTTCTTCTGTGTTCCTTCCGGTGCGCGCCATCAGAACATCCTCAGGGAGGGGTTGGGGCGGCCGGCATGTGGCTGCCCCTCCCCTTCCCTGCCTCCAAGACAGCACAAAGGGCCAGATTTTGGTATTCATGGAGATCCTAGAACCAAACCCCAGCAGATACCAAAGGCCCACTGTAGTTGCAAAACCAAAATATGTGATATTTACTGTGATGACTTCTGAAAGAGGCTTTTTAGGGATCAGTAACTTTCAGAAATAGCATCCTTTAGTTAGACTAAACTAGAGTAGATTCATTCTATCAATTGGATTTACCTGTGTTCACTCACAATTTTGATTCATTAATTGGGACTAATCCATAAGATTCAGGCTGTTATTTATTTTTTTAGTTATGTTTGTTGTCTGTTATCATGTGCTTTCGAGTTGTATATGGCTTATGGCAACCCTAAGGTGAACCTGTCATTAAGATTTCTTGGCCAGATTTATTCAGAGGGGTTTTCCCATTGCCTTCCTCTGAGGCTGAGGAAAGTGACTCGGCCAAGGCCACCTAGTGAGTTTCCATGGCTGAGCAGGAATTTGAACCCTGGTCTCTCAGTGTCCTAGTCCGGTATTCAAACCACTACCCTATGGTGGCTCCCATCATCCCTCCAGTGTGCTTAAGGTGGTGTATCTGGCTCTCCTACTTCTCAACATACATGTGAGTAAAGGAAGTCATGATGAGAGTAAGTAACTTGACCAAAATAACTCAGAATATCTGATGGGTTCAGTTAGGACTACAAATTGATTCCTTCAGTTCTCAGTCTAATATTCTATCCTAGCAATGGAAATAATAATATGCATTTGAATTCTAGAATAAAATGGGATTTTTTGAGTGTCAGGAAAGCCTTAGAAGGAGATTCCTGGGAGCTTCTTGCACTGCTAAAATAAAATGTTTTATTTTAGCTCCCAAATTCAATTTTAATTCCAGTGGCATCTGGATACTATTGCAGGGAGCACTCTGGCACCATTTTGTTTAAGTCAGAAAACTCCCGGTTTTAAAAAGGTGTGTGCTGAGTGCCCTGGGACCCAGGCTCAACCTGGGCTGGACCCAGGTGGTGGATTCAGTGGCAAAATCCCTGCAATAGTATCCAGAACCAGAATTAAAATTGAATTCGGGAGAGGTAAGATGTTTTATTTAGTGGTATGATAAGCTCCCTGGACAAGAATTTTCACAATATGAGGTTTATTCTGAGTGAAAAATGTATGTGTGTGTGTGCATGCTAAAGATAGCATTTTCTGTATAATGTTATTTTCCACATAGAAAGCAAGCTTTCTGCACATAAAACATTATTTTCTGTGCAGAAAATATTATTTCAGCAGAAAATAACATTCCTGTACAGAAAATGTTGTGTTTGGCCCCAAATTCCCACAGGTGGATTTGTCACAGACCAAATCCTGATCTACAAATAGTCCTTGAAAACTGTATAGTTTTTGAGGACATTCTCACAAATGGAGAAAAATGGTTAAATCAAACATTTTTGCTCATGAGAATGAAATTTACAAAAATTTACATTACTACTCTAATCACTACGTTAAAGTGTCTCTAAATGGGAATATTATGGAAGCAAGTAAGTATGTTGTTTTTGATTGTGTTACTTTAATTTTGAATCAGTACCCCTTTTGGAGAGAACTAATCTGAAATTTACAGAAAACCCAGATATGGTCCTTATGTGTTTGCCTATTTTCTGGAGCAGTATATTTGTATTTAGAAAGAGGGGAGTTCCTTAGAGGGTTTTTATTTGCTTGTTTGCTTGCTTAGAGGGAGGTCATATTGTGGAGGGAACAAGCTTGTTTTCTGCTGCTCCAGAGAATAGGACTCAGAACAATGGATGGAAGCTCCAGGAAAAGAGATTCAACCTCAACATTACGAGGAACTTCATGACAGTGAGAGCTGTTTGACAGTGGAACACACTCCCTCGGAGAGTGGTGGAGTCTCCTTCTTTGGAGGTCTTTAAGCAGAGGCTGGATGGCCATCTGTTGGGGATGGTTTGATTTTGAGTTCCTGCAGGGCAGGGGGTTGGACTTGATGTCCCTTATGGTCTCTTCCAACTCTATGATTCTATGATTCTGTGATTCTATGCAAATACACACACTACTTCTAAAATGTAAAGAGATGTGAAGAGGAGGAGGAGGAGGAGGAGGAGGACCCTTCCAAGAAACAAATAAAAAGATGGTTGAACATAGACTCATTTGTAGCCTCCTTTGTCAAGATCTGCTGTGCCACTAGAGTGTTTTTCTCTTGTTATAATCTGTGGTGTGCCTGGGTTGCTTTTCTCTGGCAGGTTTTGAACATAAACAGCATTTTTTTTGGACCTTATTAGTAGTTCAGGGTAAAAAGTCATACTTTGGTGCAGATGCCCCAATAGGACGATAAAAGATGATGGTTGGTAATTACATCAGTTTTGTACTGCTGGGCAGATGTTCTTGCAGTTAGATTTTGGCTGGCATTTATGAAACATCACTAGTGAATCTCATGATACTGTTGGGGGGCTGCGGCGGTAGCGATGGAGGCTGCTGCAAGCCCCCTCATAATAAAGATTATGAACAGGAGGGAAAGCATCCAGTGGAGGCATCACTGCTCCCTTGAAATGACACATAGTGACTCTATTACAGGTGGAAAGATTATTGAAGAGATTAGTAGGTTAGCATAATGGGATCAGTTTGTTTTCTCATTGGGTGCTACTTACTTTAAAAGTCTACAAAATCCAGAGCTTGGATAAGTTGCTACAGGCCTTGCTAACTAGGGAATCTGAGTGTTGCAGTCCAAAAAAGGGGTAAATTCTCCAAATTCTAATCAAGACTAAATGACATTAAAAACAACAGTGGTTGGGATGTAATATTCGTTATAGAGCTCATAAAGGATTTTGTATATTTGGTAGTGCCCATGGCATTTATGGGAAAAATTACCTCAAAAAGACAGAGATCAGAGAACAGTCTGTTTCTTTGTTTGCTGAATTTAAAAGAAAAAATCATGAATTAAAGAACACTCTGAATGTAACTTTACTAGGGACGTTATCACACGTGGGCCAGAAAGCGATAATAAAGTGG